TCAGTCATTGATGCAGTCAATATGAAAATCAAACAATCAATTTTGATTTTAATTTATTCAAAAAATCAAAATATGGATATAATTGTTTTTGAATAGATACAAACTAAATAATACTTGTTAAGGGTGGCCATCCTCCCCAAGGGAGATGACGCGTGAACTCCTCCCTTCTCCCATGCTCTCCTCTTCTTAAAAATAGCGCAAGATAAGGTAGCATTTAAAAACTACACTTCTATAATTACACTTAGTCTGTTTTATGCTTTCACCTTGCCCCTGGTTTGATTTTTTTTTTATTCCGAAAATTCGTAACCCTGTCGAAATTGCCATCATCAAAAATCAAAATATAGTCCTTTCAAAAATCTTGATGGCGCAACTTGCTCCATGAAATCCCCTAATCGGCACCCCTGATACTTGTTGAATTGAAAATTAAAAATTCGTTTGCTTTTCAAAGTTAAACTTTAAATTTTCTATTAAACTGTTCTATCTTTCTGAAATATTGTCATATTCCTATGTCATTTTTCAAATATGTTGTTAATGGCTATAGTTTAAAAACGGTGCATTCGATTTCATCCAAACATGGAGGAAATTTGGAAAACAGTATAGAAATTACTTAGTATCAATTTCATTGAATTCCATTTACTAATTAAAATTAATATAAATAATTGTTAACAAGATAATGGCTATGAAATGTGGAAGGCACTGATCATATGGAGTGGGAGTTAGGTTATTACACTATTGTTATGGGGTTATAAAATTCTAGGTTTCATCAAACAAATTAATGTATACTGTATTGCTTGGTCGATTCCAAAGGTTACTTGCATGACCCTTATTGTTGTTACTTAGATTTCTTGTAATTTTCAGTATTCATATTTGCAATTGTATTTATTTCCTTTGAAGTTCAACCAGTTCTTGTTGGTCTCGATTTCCTCCTTAAATATCGAAATTGTGACTGAAGAAAAGTATTAATCTCGTTAACTGCGAACAAACAACAAGTTAAATTTTCCTTATGGATTTTCTAGTTCCATCCATTTTAGGAGTGAAAACATACGTGTTAAGTATATATCACTCTTATTAGTGCAAAAAGTCGTATGAAAACATTTTAAACTTTTATTCTATTTGTCCTAAAGGTGACATTTTGCACTCAGTAACTGAAATTATACTAATAAATCATAAAGAATTAATTAGTTTTTATTTCCCTCTTGTAAAACAATCAATTTTTACATACGAGCTATTGCACTAACAATAGTTATATGCATTGGTATTTTTTTTTAAATTAAGAATCATCAAATATGAAATCTTCAAATATGGCACTCCTTCGCATTTTAATATTACCTGAAATACAAATTTGTGGATACCAAACTCGCGAATGTTAAACTGAACTGTATTTCCGAATCACCTTCTCCCAGGGATTTTATTCTTATATGAAAAATTGTATACCTGGTAATATAGATATATTTTAGCGAATGAAAACGGTGAAGAAGCTATACTGATCTTACTTTTTTTTTATTGTTATGTGAATGCACATTTTCTTTATCAGAGCCGTATACTTACTTACTTACTATGGCTCTACAGCCCGGGGTGGGCCTAGAATTCCTGGATTATAGCATGCCAATCACCTCTATTGGTCGCCCTTAACTTCCAGTTTCTCACACGCAATGTTTTAAGGTCGCTCTCAACATCTTGTATTTCACGTATTTCAATGATCTGTGGACCAGCCTCATTGTCGGCCTCGACATACATGTATTTTCTCTTATTTTGATTAATTTCCAGCCCATCATTTTCACTTTCGGCTTTCAATATTGTAAATATTTCATTTATTAACCCCAAATTCCTGCTAATTAGGAATATGTCGTCTGCGTAAGCACATATTTTCACCATTGCATTATGTATGCAGCCAGGAAAATCCAGTTTTTTCAGAACATTATTAAGTGCAGTATTAAGTAATGTGGTAAATCAGAGCTTCTGTCTGCATTCTTTGTTCCTTCATAAGCTCTTTCGTTACCGTTTGTACCTATATGTGAAGGGACCTAAGATAGCGGTGTAATTTCCTTATTACTTTGATATAGTTTCAAGTTCGTGACTTGAAAAACTCGATACAATTTGACATTTGTGTACGAAAAAGCTAAAAAGAAAGCAATGGGCTAATGATTTGATTATTTTTTGTTGCAGCTGCGATTTTTAAAGTATCTTTAAACAGTATTCGAAATAATGAAGTCTGTCAGAGCTTTCCAACAGAATTTTGCTTATAATACTATTAAATATTCAATACAAAAATATCTTATTCTTTTCAATTCCTTCGATCTTATTATCTTCCGATTCTGATATTTTTTTTGGAGCTGAAAGCGCTTCGAAGCACTTGTCGATTGGTGTATATTTGATAAAACCCTCCAGCTCAGTGGAAACCATTCCCCTCCTCTTCTGGTCACTTCCAACTTGACGAGATTACGAGTCCATCTCGCGAGTTGAATGACTTATCGCCGAATGTCCTCCTGCCGTCTGCTTGGCCACGCTTGAGTACACTCCATCCCGTCCCGCCCCGGGCCACCCCGCCTACAGCCGCAGGACACCGCGAAGATGGCGTCGAGCCGGAAATTATTGGCTGGCGGTTGATAGCTTCATCTCGATTGGCCTCTAGCTATATCTCTAGAGCTACTTAGCATGGCTGGAAGTGGAGATCTTTGTGAAATTTCACATCTACCCACAGAAACCATGATATATTTGATGATAAAACATAAATAAGATAAGCAGAGAATAAAGAACTTATAGTCAATCTCCGATTATCATTTCATCAATATTGACACACTTTACCATAATGAACAATAATATAAAATAAAAAATCTAGTGGTACTGATTGGGTATAAAATAAATTCAAATTTCAAATCAAACTTATTGAAGTTTAAACCATAAATCATCGTAATTCTTCAGTATAATACAACCTTAAACCAAAACAGAAATACATAGCTCCTAAGTTATAAGGAAAAATCAACTGACAAAGACCTGTAGCTGCAATTTAATTATTAGTTAATAGGGATACCCATCCTCCCAAAGGTTGATAGCGAACTCTATCTCTCCTCCCTCACCAATATATTTTATTGTTCTCCTCTTCTTAAAAACAATGCTAGGAAAAGTAGAATTTAAAAAATAGTAGATCATATACAATTACAGATGCTCGGTCTATTCCACTGCTTCCACTTATCCCCTGGTTTCAAACTTTTTATTCACAAAGGTTAAAATGCTATCGAAATTGGTCCCCCCATGTAATTCAAAATCCTGTCAAAATGTGTCCTCAAAAGCTTGTTCAATGAAACCTCCTCCCTCTGGGCACTCATCATTGGTAATGACATTTGACCCTCTATAATGTTTTTATTTTTAATTATTTATCTTTCCATGCTGATACTTTGATTTTAATATTATTTTATAATTTTTTTTTTAGAAATGAAAAAAAATTAGAATATTATGATATTGTAGAAATATAGTTATTTCTTATAGCCAAAAGCAGTTTGTAAGAGTTAATATAATTGGAATTAACGAAAAATGTTCCCTTTTTTTTATGATTTATTTATTTATGCTAATAAATCATAAGGAAATAATAGGTTTTTTGCTCTTCTGTAAAAATGTCTATTTTTACATACGTTTTGCAATAGCATTACAGCAATAGCGTTCTTTAAAACATTGCTTTAAAATGTTAAATTTTTATGGGGAGTAGCAAAATAAAGCTCATCATTCTTGACAAAAATCCTGGTTCTAGCCCCTACTTGATAAAGATTTAAAAGTGTTACCATAGTTAGACATATTGCCAGAACTAATTTAATCATAGAGTACAGGGAACAAATTTGTTAATACAGCTTGTACAAGACAATAGGTTACAGCTCATCTTCCTTCATAACAAAATATCAGAATTATTTCAAAATTATTTTTTCATTATAAAAGTTAACCTTTAAGAAGAAAATGTTCACGATGATGTTATCCAGAAAATTCTTCACAGCTTTGTGAGTGTTCTAAGGTCATTTGCTCAGCGGATATAACAAACAGTTTGTCAAATTTATCCTAAACTTCTCAGATATTACTAATCATCTGGGATAGAATTTCTTTAGAAATCAAAACCAATTTACTTGAAACTCTTAATGATTTTAGAAATCTCAAGAACTATGTTATACTACATATACTAATAGCAACAAAAATTAGTTATAATAACATTTTTAAAAAAGTTTGAAATTTTTTAAATAAGTTTATTTGTATTTATTTGTTAAAAGCTTAGTAATTAGAAAGATAGTTTATTAACTAGACTTTATGACTAAGTAAGTTTTTCAATGCTGTTGAGAAATTTATTCTTTTATATTTTTTGCAGGTAATGATTTCTTCTGTGACTGTCGCCTGAGCTGGCTTCATTCCTTATTTAACATGACCAGCCTTTCAGAGCAAACACGACAAGCAATTGATGAGCTGACATGCTTAATGGAAGAGGTAATTAAGATTTCATTAAAAAATTTTGAGCCCATATATATTTTATTAAAACCATTTAATTTGTGCAATACTCCTATCTTATAAAATGAACATTTTTATATTCATAATATATAAGTATTGAATATTCATACTCAAAATATTCAATATTCATACTTAAATATTCAATATTATATATATGACAAATTTTTAACTAAAATATAATTGGAAAAACTAAGGTCAATAAGGCTTCACATTTTTTAGTCAAAGTCCAGTCCAAATCTTGAGCTGATGCAGAAAGTACCAGCCACTTGATTTTTCCATCTTTTCATCTAAAAATATTTCTGTAAAGTTACAAATACATGGTATTTGTAGATAATACTTAGTATTTATGGAATTTTATAATCTTTTTTACCTTTAATAATCAACATGTGATTGGGTAAGAATGATTAGAGAAAAAAAAAATTGAAAAACGAACCATTATTATTCTAAAAGAAATTAATTACATCATCGTTTAGTCGCGCGTGTTTCCTCCTCTTGCCTTCACTACTTCTTGAAGACGCCTCGGCATACTTTCCACTAGTCGGGAAATGTCCCTTTGCTAGAGGATAGCCAATTCCTCCCGAAGAGCCATTTCAAGGTCCTGCAGTGTATCAGGAAGTGTTGCACGCGCTCTTATTCGTCTTCCGAGGTTATTCCATAAATGCTCAATGGGGTTCAAATATGAAGAACCGTCTTGTAAAGTTTCATATGGAACTCCGATGGCATTAGCTGCATATCTAATGGAACTTCCATCATCAATAAGTGCCACACCACACGCAACATCCTCAGCACTAAGAGGCATTTTTAAACTTAATATTGAAAAAATTAAAAGCCGGAGACTAAGAAATATGCTGCGAGAAACGGCACTGAACTAATGATACTGAATAAACATTTTGATTCTATAGAAAGTAAACATTGGAATCTAGAATCATTTCATTGAATTAAGGATTAAGGGTTATTGTCTTCTATATTAACATTCCTAATTGAAAACAAACAAAAATATTACCTATTTGTTCATTAAAAACAATAGACCAATCCAAAGCAGAAATATTTTTAGACGAAAACATGAAAAAATCAAGTGGGTGGAATTTTTTGCCTGTCAGTGTATGTGTCTAAAGTATAATAGTTCAATTATGTTGTGAAACAAATAACTCTAATGTAATCATTTCTTGTGTCATTTTTTAGCCAAAACATTTTATATTATTCTTCGAGTTATCCTCTGATTTTTTTTTTTCAAAAGCTTTTAACTCAAGTGGATTTTATAGAAGTCTGTTTGAAGCATTTGTTTAACTAAACCTCAAAATGTTTGTCTTAGTTTTTTCAGCATTATTTTTTTTCCTCAAAATAAAACATTCTTTAAATGTTGGGTTATTTCAAGTTTAACTTTTCTATCAAAAGTAAACATTCCCACTCTTTTCTACTAAAACTAAACTAAACCTAAATATTGCATGTGTTTTCTCCTTTAACACATTTCTGATTAATAATGGTTTTAAGATGTATAATTGGTTTATTACATTTCAACAAAATACTGATATGTTATGAAATAGAGAAAGTAAACTCCACAATTACTGATTCTGAAATAAAAAAAAAGACAAATACGATTTTTTTTATATAAAACATGCTAATACTATATTTATAGATTTTGATTTATATGATTGCTTACATAAAATTTTTTTGTTTTATTAATTTAATTATATTTTCTTCACCTGTAGGAACAAGAGATGCACATGGCACTTGCTGGTTCACCTCTGGAAGATACAACTAATCCTAATGATGATTATGATGACCACAAGGGAACAGTAAACAAGGATGGATTATCCCACTTTATGTCGATTCCAAGAGAGACTCTTCCGTGCCCAATGGATTTGAAGGCCACAGTCAGTCCTGCAGTACAACTAGCCACCAAACCACAGAGCTCTAGGGCAAACAGTTATGCTCACTCCTTTGCACTACTTTTTATTCTTATTTCAGCTATTCCACTTTTGACATAATGAACTAAAACCATCCAAAAAGAAGCACAAATCCTTTAAGATGAAATAATTTCAATGTGAAATGAACTCTTATTATTTGTATTATATGAAATGAAGAAAAATTTAATGTGTGAAACATTATCAAGTTTTCACATCCTTTCATTTGGTTCTATAAAATCATTCACTTTTATAATACATGTGTAGGTAAATTTTGCCTCTATTTCTAATTCACTATTATTGAAAAAAGTTTGTATTTATTTTATGGCAGTAAGGTATTGATTTATAACTCAAGCTTGATTGTATAAAATAAACACCAATTTTAAAAGGCAAACTGTTCGGGAATACAGGAATTATTATTAAGGAGAAGAAACTTTCTAAATAAAACCCTGTTTTCAAAATTGCTTCACTCAGAATTAAAATATATTGCTCAATTTGAAATAACATGACTCTAGAAACTAAAAGCAATGAATACATTATACAATTCTATACATCTTGATTGCTATAATATGCAAATATGACTAATAAAATCTAAATTAATCTGAAAAGTTTGGTTTATTTAATGTAAGGGGAAAAAATGTTCATTGTCAGTTTTAGTTTAAAAACAAAATTATACTGATAAACTATCTTAATTTTTAACAACAATAAAAATTATTTATGACTAGAAAATGTGCGAATGTATCTGCTTACTTCAAGCAGTTTGTTTTATAAATGGTATTGTTATATTGTTTGTAATTTTGTATAAATTGTTTGTAACTGAAGGGGAAAACATGGGAAAACAGTTATTCATGATTAGTATTAGTTTCTAGTTATTATTTTTAGTTTTATGATAGATAAAAATTAAACACAAAAACTAGACATTCATTTATTTCTATTATTCTTATTTCTTATTTTAGATGTCCATTTATGGTTGATTTAGCTTCTCATTAGAAGCAGTTATTATTGTTTTAGATCTTGCTGTTATATTATTAATGACTTTGTATGAAGTGATCATGTTTTCATTTTATTTTCATAATTATATCAAAAATTTAATAATAAGTTAAATTGATATTGAGTCCCCATTCTATAAATTAATTTCTGAGTGATAAATCTTGCTGTTTCTGGATTTGAATTGTAAATTTGGAAAAGATATCAACGTTATTCTCTCATTTAATGAAACTACCAACCAGAGTTAATAATAGCCTTTTAAATGTGAGTTGTAAAAGTTTTTATAGCTTCACTTGAACTAAATTTCCTGTCTGATTCACTCCTATTTTCTGCTATATTATATGTAAATGTAAAATAGTTAGTATTTGTCATGATAAAGTATTTGTCATATAAATATACTTGTTTACCTACAATTGTTCTTTCTTGTGATGTCACTTAGAGCACTATGTATTTTGTGTGTATAAATTTTAATTTTATAATCTATTTCAACTTCGAATTTTTCTGTCAGTCTTTTAAGAAAATGGTGTTTTTATTAAGAACAGATTATGAAAATGATCTGAAAAATGAAATATATTCTTTCAAATAAATGTATGTATATGTGATTCGCACTTATATTATAAACAGTATTAAATTATTTTTTTCATCACTTGGTAATTATTATAATTAAATTGTAATTTTTATCATTAAATCAAGGGTATGAAAGATATTTTTACACGTGTGTGCACACTCGATTTTTGGAATGATGAAAAAGTGTAAATATTTATTTTAAAAAATATAAGAGTGTAAAAAGTATTGTTAGCTTTTGTGACCTGAATCAATGATTTAGTATTCTTTTTATGTTTCTTTTCTTTTCTTATTTTGTTAATTCTACTTACATGTAATGAAATAACCCTCCCTAGAATTTTCAGCAATTATTGGTGAAAAATTTATTCCAAATGACAGTCGTCAGCAACATTATGATTTGTGCACCAACCAAAAGCTGACTATTGTTTTGTATGTGTTTTTAAGAAAATGTGATAATGCTTGTGTACCACTATGTTTTATATAATAGAAGTTGTTTTATTCCAAAGACTGATTTCTATCTTTTTAGTATCATAGCTGCTTTGTTCTTTTCATTATCAAATGTTTATGATGTTGTTTTTGAAGTTATTGAAAATCATGCATAATATTGCATGATTATTTGAAAAAATACATGTTTTTCCTATATTGTACATTTTAAAATAATACTGTAGAAGAAAAAATTACACATAAGCAATTTAATGTGAAATTTCATTTGTTGTAATTGATATTTTAATAAACCACACCCGAATTTACATTTTTTATTTTAATCCATCCAGTTTACGCCAATTCAAATTTAAAATAATAATTGCAACACCTTTGACAAGAAAATAAGTAAAGATAAAAAGTATATAATTTAGAGCATGTAGCTATGCAATAGAAAATTTTAATTTGATGAGATTCCTTGGAATATACATTTTTAGAATAAATTAATGTACTTTAATCTCCATCTTATGCAGTAAAATACTACTGTATATTTCTAAACTGGCAGAAAAGTACTTGACTATATATATCGTGTGTTATCAAAGTGTATCATTACACAAAAATTCAAAGGACCATAATTTAAAAATAAATATAACCAAAAAATGATGGTTTCTCAACAGAAAAATTTAATGTTGTACCTCTAAAAAGTTACATTAATATTTTTAACTTAAAAATAAATAATAATCTGAAATATCTCAAAACGTTTTTTGAAAATTTGACAGGAATTTCAATCTAAAATTTTTGCTTAATATGAATTAAGAATTATTTGAATATTTTAAATTTAACTTATTCTATATCTATATGTTGATATTTAAGCAGGCCCGAGAAGGGAGAGAGTGGACAACAGCAAGGCTTGTCAGTTTTTTTTTTTATACATTATATAACAGAGAGAAACACTTTATTTTCATAAAAATATAAAATATAAAAGATTGCTGCCCAATTATATTGGGTTGCTATGTACAGTTGCTACATACTCTTTAATCCGTAGGACAATAGATGAACCTATATATAAATATACAGAAGTGTTAGTTTATATCAGTAAAATATATATATATATATATATATATATATATATATATATATATATATACATTTTTTTTTTCTTCCTTTCATTTTTCATGCTTTTTTTCCTTTTTTATTTTTTTTTATTTTATTTTTCTTTTCTTTTTTACATTTAGTTTCCTTTTCTCTCGCTTCTCTCTCTTTATCTCTATTGTTTTCAATTTTTCATTAAATAAATAAACATAATTTCTTTTAATTTAATTTTTTTTTTTTTTTGTATATGTCATAAAGGATGAACTTGGGATTCAGTGGGAATTTAATATTTGATGCTGCACCAGGAAAATTTATCTCCTAGACCTCTAATTTCTCTTCATGGCTCCGTTTATAACATTACTTATTACAAAACAATACACATTTATATGTATGTATTATTAATTTAATAATAGTCATATATAAAAAATCTATTATAAATTGCTTCATAAAAATAATTATTAAGAGCTTCTGGGATTGTACCTACCACAGTGTTCTTGAGACAGTAGTAGCGGTATTTCATACTTGAAGTATGAGGATTTAATTTAAATCGTGGCAAACACAGAATGAATTTGGAAAGATTTGCTTGGTAACCTTCAAGATAGTCTAACCAACTGGCCTTTGTGGAGATCGGAATTGGAGGATTTGTAGAGATTGGTTATCAAACATAAAAAGAAGTTTATATCATTTTTAAAAAAAAAGTATTAATAATAGAAAAAATCATAAATTTCAAAAAGAAAATTTTATTTGTTTTTAATAGTGAGATTTTCATTTCTGGCATAAATCACTTCCAATCATAAATCATGTCTGGCATAAACATCTTTGCATCCATTTACCCAGAAACTCCATTTCCAACTGTTCAAAGTTGCTATCACCTGAGTTCTGTACTCATCACATCCTGAGATAATGTTTTCGATTGAAATTAATCCCAATCTCATTCAGGTAGTCATTGGCAATATGTGCAGTGCCGTCCATAGACATATGGCGCTCCTGGGCAATGATGTCATCTCCTCCTCCACCCCTGAAATAGTTAATTTTATTTCTTAAGCTACTATATTAAATTATGTAACATTGGAATTTTATTTCATTCAATATTTCTCTTATACAGTTGCTATATATTGCTATATATATTAATTTCTAACAATTGGTAAGCCCCCTGAAGATTGGCGGGTGCTCACAACGGGCCTCCCTCCAGGTCAGGTACTAAATACGTGGGTTTAGCATTGTCCAACATTAGCAAGAATCTCTCACCAATACAATGCAAAAAAATACGTGTTTCTTGATTATGTCAAGTGTCTTAATGAATAAAACTTCATCCTTGTACATCAACCAATTGGGTAAGAGCTTCCAACATACTGGCACCCATAAGATCAATGAACCACCATGAAATGTCAACTGAGGAACCTATAGCTGAGAAATCTTATTTCACTGAAGCAGTGGAGAATTCCTCTCATTATTTTAAAACTGAAATTAATTAGTATGAAAGTAAGCTCAGTAAGTAAAAACAAAAATTATTTTGCAGCTTACACTGGTTAAAACTCCTATTTACCAGGAATTTGATAAAATAGCACAGAAAGATGACATTTGGTTTCAAACTAAATAAATTAAATGTTACATTAATTTTCGTCTGTTGTATATCTTTGCAATACTATATATAAATACTAAGTTACACCCAGAATGTTTCTTTGTGTTTCAGTTCCAATTTTGATTCATTTTGCAGTGATAAATTAAAAAATGTCTTGAGAATTTAATTAAAATTAAAATTAAATTAAAAAGGACCATAATGCATAAATTAAGTCATCTCATATTATGAAATAAAAGTTATTTAACAATTTGACTATCCATTCTATAAAAATCGTGTTGAAATAGTGAATATAGATCTTCCAAGAGATCATCAGAAAGTGTACAAGGATTCATGAAGTGTTCCTGCAGCACAATGTAAATGTCATACAGAGAAGTGTAAATATACAGAAGGACAAAGAATGTGCAACTCCTAGTGTCACAAATCTCTTTTCTATTGTATA